GAGGCAGGGAGGAAGCAACTTACCCTCCCTCTTCTCCTGCCTCCTCCTGGCTGAATGAGGGCTGGAAGTGGGGTGGCCGGAAGCAGGGGGCAGGGCTTCATCATGTGCCCCGCCCCCCGTACCTCACCTGGGGGGACTGCGATCCCCCGCGTTTCCCCCCGAAATGACCTCTGCCCAAATCTGAAAAATCCTTTTGTGTGTGAGTGTGTGTGCACACCCCTAGTATGTGCATTTCTGTGTATATCTCATTACAAACATTTCATTGTTAATGCAGAAAGTAGCCAATGAGCACATATAAGCAGTTTGCAAATTATCGCATCTGCATAAAGCGTCCTTTATTGAACATGCTGTATGGGGCAACGGTGGCACTAATTCTTTAAAAATGAAGAATAAAGAGGACAGTGAAGCAGTCACTAAAATCATCTGACAAAGTGTTAGGAGCGATTTGTGCATTGCGTTGTATATTGTGCTGTACAAAGCCAGGTCTCTGTGGGAGTTAATGGTTAACAGAGGGAGGGAAGAACCAACGATTCCCAAACACACATTTATTTGTGGCAAGAAAATCAACAGCAGCATCTCGAAGGCAACTCTGACTTTTTGCTTTTTGTCTTAAGCCTTTGGACCCAAACCTTTATTTCTGTCTTTTTAAGTTTGGAAATTATTAGGGAACTTGAGTTGGTATTGCACTGTGACCTATTCAGACCGATCCCCCATTATTTCCAGAGATCATTATTCCCAGGGACAAGCAGGGTAACCCCTAGTGTCTTATAAACATAGTGAAAAGCCTTGTTCTGCTTCAGCTGGCTGTGGAATGGAAGAAAAGAAATTGTTAAAGGCTGTAGCTGATGTCTATACTCCTCCCACCCCAACAGATAATTGTATCAAAGTAAACTGCATTGGATCCAAACAGAATTGCAGGTTTCTGTGGAATGGATCCTTCTAACCTCTATCCGAAAAGATGCAGAGGCTTCATGTAACCTTGAGGAAAAGTGCTTGGGGGCAGCAGTTCAAGGGATAAATCCATGTAGATTACATGCCTCTTCCCCTTTTATGATCAGAAGTGCCTTCTATTTGGGCAAAAGGTGTTTAGATGCAGCCCACTGGCTATCTTTAGAAGGGGTTCAGGCGCACCACTGCTTGTAATGACACTTAAATCCTCTATTTTGGATCAATAAGTCTAACCTTTGGAATTGCAGACTGTGCCAGTGTAGCAAATGATGACTGCAGAACTGCAGGGTAGGGAGGCAGCTCGAATAAGTGACCAGATCAGACCTGGAAGCATGTGCCATGTGCTGGAAGCATCTTCTGGGCTTTCGGTACAAGGATACTTCCTTGACAGATCTCCCTGCATTTCCGTTTTTTAGCCTCAGCTCGTGGAAGGGGAAATTATTCATGCAGTGCACAGACAAAACTTCATCATATTTGGGAACCATATTTGCTTTTCTTCTGATACATTCGATTAAAACTGAGCCATGTTTGGTTCTCTGTTAATCTGAAAGTATTATATTATTATCTGGACAAGAATTTTGTATACTGTCCTAATTTGCATGTGACCTGTGGGCATTAGAAACCAGAAAATTCCAGCACGACTTGGAGCCACAGTAGGCACTTTCAGATTCAGAATAAACCATAGTTTATTCATTGTGAGAATGAACCCACTGCAGCCCTAGGGCTCAAGTTTTCTATCCTCCCATCCACCTTCTTCTCCTATATATGGCTCAGAATAATATGAAATGTTTATAGGTTCCTAAGAAACTAGAGTTTGTTCTGATGTCCAAATTGGAGGAAACAACAAGCTGTGATTTGTTATCTTGCAAAAAATGGCCTGTATCCACTGCTGAGCAGAAAGTGCATATGGAGCTGCCCTACAATGAATCAGATCCTTGGTCAGTCAGGGTCAGTGTTGTCTTCTCAGACTGACAGCCACTTTCCAGAATCTCAGGGCTTTCACATCACCTAACGCCTGATCCTTTTAGTTGGAAATACCAGGAACTGAACCTGGGACCTTCTACATGCCAAGCAGTTGCTCTACCACTGAGCCATAGCCCCTCCCAAAAGAGAAAGACACATAAAGCTGCCTTATACTGAATGACACCAGCAGTCCATCAAGGTCAGTACTGCCTACACAAACTGGCAGTATCTCTCTTCACATCACCTACTGCCTAGTACTATTAACTAGAGATGCCAGGGATTGAACCTGGGACCTTCTGCATGAGAAGCAGAGGTTCTTCCACTGAACTACAGCCCCTCCCATGGTGGGTGTTGCATTCTGCTACCCCCAACAGTCCTTTGTGATCACTGGAGTTCCTGGAGTTGCATGAGCCATGTGGATGACAATCTGTGGAGGCTGGGGGATGTGCAGTGAGAAGGGGTCAAAATGGCTCCAGCAACCTTTTTTCTGTCAGCAGACCACAGAAGAGGGGGGAAGGGACAATTTTGCAACCTTTCCCCCTCCTCACGGCAGTCCTCCATGTGGCTGTTGGTCCACACAGATCTTGATGCCCCAGGAAGAATCTTAATAGATGACAAAGAG